AGCTCTGGAGAGGTTTTATGGAATCTCAAGAGGTTTTGGGGTGTTCTGGAGAGGTTTGGGAAGATCTGGAGAGGTTTGGGAAGCTCTGGAGAGGTTTTATGGAATCTCAAGAGGTTTTGGGGAAGCTCTGGAGAGGTTTGGGAAGATCTGGAGAGGTTTTATGGAATCTCAAGAGGTTTTGGGGAAGCTCTGGAGAGGTTTGGGAAGATCTGGAGAGGTTTGGGAAGCTCTGGAGAGGTTTTGGGAAGCTCTGGAGAGGTTTTTGGCAGCTCTGGAGAGGTTTTGGAAGCTCTGGAGAGGTTTTGGAAGCTCTGGAGAGGTTTTTGGCAGCTCTGGAGAGGTTTGGGCAGTTCTGGAGAGGTTTTGGGAAGCTCTGGAGAGGTTTTTGGGCGCTTTGGAGAAGTTTTCAAAGCTCTGGAGAAGTTTGGGAGGCTCTGGAGAGTTTTTGGGCAGCTCTGGAGAGGTTTTGGGCAGCTGTGGGGAGGTTTTGGAAGCTCTGGAGAGGTTTTGGAAGCTCTGGAGAGGTTTTTGGAAGCTCTGGAGAGTTTTTTGGAAGCTCTGGAGAGTTTTTGGGCAGTTCTGGAGAGGTTTTGGAAGCTCTGGAGAGGTTTTTGGCAGCTCTGGAGAGTTTTGGGCAGTTCTGGAAAGGTTTTGGAAGCTCTTGAGAGTTTTTGGGCAGCTCTGGGGAGGTTTTGGGCATCCCTGGGGAGGCTCTGAGGTTTGATGGGGTCACAGGACAGGCTGTGTTGGGAAGGAGAGCAAAACTCACCCGGTGATGCCTGGAGAGGTTTCCTGGACCAGAATGAAAAGATAAAACCAGATATTTATTAAAAACCCTTCAAAGGAAACACCTTGGGCAGTGCAGGAGCCTCACAGGGAATTCAAACACATTTTGCTCCCCACAATTCACTTTTTGTTTGCATTTTTCAGGGCCTGAGCCAGGCAGGTGTCCTTGAGTTTCAGGCTCAGAGAGGAATTGTTTTGTCTGAAGGAAATGGGAGAGCAGCAGCTGAAAGGCTGTGGAGTTTTAGAGTTGTGCACAAAGCACTACAGGAGCTGAAAAATAGAATTTTTTTAAAATCTAATATTAATATTTCAATATTAAATTAATAAAAGATTAAATTTTAATATTAATACTTTAATATTTAATATTCATTTAATATTTTAATATTTTTATATTTTAATATTAACATTTAAATAACATTTTTTAATATTTAAAATAATATTTAATATTATTTTATATTATTAATAGTATCCAGTATATTAATGGTATTAATAGTAACATTATTAATATTAATTAAATTTATTAATCTAAAATATTGATATTAATATTTTAATATTTTAATAATATTTTTAATATTTTAAAATAATATTTTAACATATTATCATTAATAGCATTAACTATATTAATAATATAATATTAACATTATTAATTAATATTAATTAAATTTTATTCATAAAAATATTGATGTTAATGCTTTAGTATTAACATCAGCATTTTAATATTTACAAATAATATTTTAAATAATATATAATATATATTATATAATTATAGTTATAAGTATTATAATAATGATGATAATAACTATTATTATAATAACTATTATTATAATTAATTATATAATTATTTTTATACATATTATAAATATATATATATATTTATATATATTGTATATATAATTACATATTATATATACATATTATATAATTATATAATAATTATCATTATAATTAATTATTATATTATTATATAATTATAAGTATTATAATAATAGGATAATTATATTAATTATATTAATTATAATTATATATTATATAATTATATTATAATAATTATAATTATTAATTATTTAATTGTATAATTACATATATATTATATATAATCTATAATATAGAATTTTAATATATATTTATATTTATAATGAATATTTATATTTATAAATTAATCTATAATATAGAATTTTAATATATATTTATATTTATAATGAATATTTATATTTATAAATAATATATATTTATATTTATCTATTTAATATGTAATTATATAATAATATATTATATAATAATATATATAATAATATATATTATATATATTATAGTATGTATATTATTTAATATATAATATATATTATAATATAATAATATATACTATATAATAATACAACAATATTAATAATAATATATAATAATAAAATATAAAAATATATATATTATAATAATAATATATAATATATTATATAATAATATTTTATATATATTATATTATAATAATATATATAATATATTATATAATAATATATTATATATATTATATAATAATAATAATAATTTATAATATATTATATAATAATATATTATATAATTGTATAATTATTTTGATCAATTAGCCAGGCTGGGCTGTGTCACACCCTCCCTGTCCTGGGGGGGTTGTGACATCCCTGTCCCGGGGGGTCGTGACATCCCTGTCCTGGGGGGTCGTGACATCCCTGTCCTGGGGGGTTGTGACATCCCTGTCCCCTCTCCTTTCAGGGCCATGCCACCTCCTTCTTCGGGCCGACGCTGGAGCGTGACATCCCTGTCCTGGGGGGTTGTGACATCCCTGTCCCCTCTCCTTTCAGGGCCATGCCACCTCCTTCTTCGGGCCGACGCTGGAGCGCTACTCGTCCTTCCAGGTGAACAGCAGCGACGACATCCGCCAGATCCAGAGCCTGGAGAACGGCGTCCTCTTCCTCACCAAAACCAACCTCAAGTACCTGTCCCGGGGCGGCCTCATCATTTTCGACTACCTGTGAGTGCTCCTGGCCCTTCCAGCCCTTCGGGGATCCCTCCCGCAGCCGGGCAGGAGCCTGAGGGTGTCCTGCGTGTCCCCCAGCATGGATGAATCCGAGGACATGCACAGCCTCCTGCTGACTGACAACAACACCCTGCTGGTGGCCGGCCTGCACAACCACGTCCTGGAGATCGACCTCGGCACCGTGCAGGAGACGCAGAAGGTGCAGCTGGGCTGGGGCTGCTCGCTGGAGCTTCGCTCTGGGATTTCTCCCTGCTCTTTTCTGGTCCTCTCTGCTCTTCCCTGTTTTACCCTTCTCTTCTCTTCTCTTCTCTTCTCTTCTCTTCTCTTCTCTTCTCTTCTCTTCTCTTCTCTTCTCTTCTCTTCTCTTCTCTTCTCTTCTCTTCTCTTCTCTTCTCTTCTCTTCTCCTCCCGCACCTTCCCTTCCCTCTTTTTCCCCCCTTTTTTTTCCCCCCCTTTTTTTTCCCCTTTCCCCTTCCATCCTTTTCCATCCCATCTCATCCCTTCCCTTCCCAGTACACCGTGGAGGTGCCGGGCATCACCATCATGAGGCAATCCAACCGCTTCTTCTTCTGCGGCCACACCTCGGGCAAGGTAACTCAGGTTCAGGGGGGGATATCCCGGGATTTGGGCTCTTCCCGGAGCTCCAGAGGCCGGGTGGCCACGGCCAGGACGTCCCCTCTCAGGTGTCCCTGCGCGACCTGCGCACCTTCGCGGTGGAGCACGAGTTCGACGCCCACTCCGGGAGCCTGTCGGACTTTGACGTGCACGGGAACCTGCTGGTGACCTGCGGCTTCTCCAGCCGCATGAACGGCCTGGCCTGCGACCGCTTCCTCAAGGTGTACGACCTGCGGATGATGAGGGCCACCACCCCGCTGCAGGTCCACATCGACCCCTTCTTCCTGCGCTTCATCCCCACCTACACCTCCCGCCTGGCCATCATCTCCCAGACAGGTGCGGGGAGCTCCGCTGTGCCCAGGGTTGGATCCCGTGGGATGAGTCAGCCCGGAGCTCAGCCCGGAGCAGAGCAGGATGAGGGGAGACCTCGCAAGAAAGGGTTAACGATGGGATTTTGGGAAAGGGTTTATGATGGGATTTTGGGAAAGGGCTCATGATGGGATTTTGGGAAAGGGTTTATGATGGGATTTTGGGAAAGGGTTCTTCCTCCAGGATCCTGTGGGATGATTCAGCCCGGAGCAGGGCAGGATGAGGGGAGACCTCGCAAGAAAGGGTTAACGATGGGATTTTGGGAAAGGGCTCATGATGGGATTTTGGGAAAGGTTTTATGGTGGGATTTTGGGAAAGGGTTTATGATGGGATTTTGGGAAAGGGCTCATGATGGGATTTTGGGAAAGGGCTCATGATGGGATTTTGGGAAAGGTTTTATGATGGGATTTTGGGAAAGGTTTTATGATGGGATTTTGGGAAAGGGCTCATGATGGGATTTTGGGAAAGGGTTTTTCCTCCAGAGGGTGGCTGGGCACAGAACGGGCTCTTGGGCACGGTCCCAATGCTGCCAGAGCTCCAGGAGTGTTTGAGCAGCTCTCTCAGGCACAGGGTGGGATTTTGGAGTGTCCTGTGCAAGGACAGGAGTTGGACTTTCATCCTTGTGGGTCTCATGCAGCTCAGGATATCCCGTGATCCTGCAGGTCAGGGAGTGTTTGGATGATCAAATCCTTAAGCAGGTGTTGGGATCTGGAGATTTGGGGAATTTTTGGGCTTGTCCTGTGCAAGGACAGGAGTTGGACTGGAGGATCCTCGTGAGTTCCTTTCCACTCAGGATTTTCCATGACTCTGGAGGTCCTGGAGTGTTTGGACAACGCTCTCAGGTGTTGGGATTTGGGGACTGGGGAAGTTTTGGGCTTGTCTTGCCCAAGACTTTGATCCTTGTGAGTTCCTTTCAGCTCAGAATATTCCATGATTGTGGAGGTCAGGGAGTGCTTGGAGAACGCTCTCAGGTGTTGGGATTTCGGGATCTGAGGAACTTTTGGGCTTGTTCTGTGCTGGGCCAAGAGTTGGACTCGAGGATGCTTGTGAGCTCTTTTCAGCTCAGGATATTCTATTTGAGAGGTCAGGGAGTGCTTGGAGAATGCTCTCAGGTGTTGGGATTTGGGGACTGGGGAGGTTTTGGGCTTGTCCTTTGGGCCAGGAGTTGGGCTTTGATCCTTGTGAGTTCTTTTCAGCTCAGGATATTCCGTTATTTGAGAGCTCAGGGAGTGCTTGGAGAACACGCTCAGGTGTTGAGATTTGGTGATCTGAGGAACTTTTGGGCTTGTCCTCTGGGCCAGGAGCTTTTGGCTCCCTTCCCACTCAGAACATTCCACGATGATCCGAGTGCCGCTGCCCCGCGTCCGGCCACTTCCCGTGGCGCGAGACCTGCGTGCCACCAGGAGCCGATTCCCACTTTGCTGTGCCCCTTTTCCCTCTTGCCAGGCCAGTGCCAGTTCTGCGAGCCCACCGGGCTGGCCAACCCCGCCGACATCTTCCACGTCAACACCGTGGGGCCGCTCATCATGACCTTCGACGTGTCGGCCAGCAAGCAGGCGCTGGCCTTCGGCGACTCCGAGGGCTGCGTCCACCTCTGGGCCGACTCTCCGGAGGTGACCTTCAACGCCTACTCCCGGGAGACCGACTTTGCCTTGCCCTGCATGGTGGACACGCTGCCACACCTGGACTGGAACCAGGACCTGGTGCCGCTGTCGCTCATCCCGGTGCCGCTGACCAGCGACGCGCTGCTCTCCGACTGGCCCGCCGCCAACTCCGCCCCGGCGCCGCGGTAATGCCCGGCCTCTCCCGGGAAAACGGCTCGGGAAAGGCTAGCTCTTGCCTTGGAGTGGCTGCCTAAAACTGAGGCTAGACAAGATTAAGAGAATAAAAGTGGGGATTTGTTGAAGGTTTTCAGTAGGGGCACCTCGGGTGCTCAAAAGCCTCCGAGGGGTTACACTATAGATGGTTTTTCAGATGATTTTAAGTTTGGTCCATTTGCAAATCAGGGGTTAATCCTCCAATTAGTGTCAGCTAATGAAGTAATTTACTCCAAGTTTCCCCCCCTTCCCCATTCACTGTTGTTTCCATCTCTGGGGGCCTGAGACAAGCAGGTGTCCTTGAGTTTCAGGCCTAGAGAGGAATTGTTTTCCTGGATAAAATGGGAAAACAGCAGCTGGCAGGCCACGGAGTTTAGAGTTTCACACTAAAGCACTGAAGGCATCGTTCCTGCTTGCCTGTAAACCCCAGATGAGGTCCCTGTAGTGGAGGTGTGCCTGGGCAGGTGTGAGGATGGTGGGACATGGTCCAAGCTCCTTCCCTCCCACTCCCACTGGGATCCTGGCTCTGCCCACGTGGGATCTCCTTTTCCCTCTTCCCAACACCTCTGCTGCCCTGGGAGGGATGGAAAACAAACCTGGGGAAGGGCTGAGGAGGGGGCAGTGCTCAGGACCACCCTCAGGGTGGGTGAGAGATGCTGCTCTGAGTCAGGGGGTGTTTCCAGGCGAGCCCCCCCGGTCGATCCCGAGATCCTGCGCACCATGAAGAAGGTGGGATTCATCGGCTACGCCCCAAACCCCAGGACCAAGCTCCGTAACCAGGTACCCACTCCCAGGAGGGAATTTTGGGCATTTTGGGAGGGTGGAGCTCTGCAGCCTGGGAAAGGACAGAGCTCTCCGTGTGCTGAGGGAGCTTTCAGGGATGGGGACAAGAGGTGGAATTCCCTTGGGACGCTGCAGGTGTGGTTTGGAGGCGGCAGCTTCTCCTGAGCAGGGAAAGGGATGGAGTTTTCCCAGTTCCATCCCTCCGTGGCTCTGTGGGCAGGGAAGGTCTGAGCTGTCCGGTTGGGAGGTTCACGGCACGTCCCTCGCCCTTGGGAAAGCACTGCCCCCGTGCTTCCCCACAGTGACAAATCCCTGCGAGCAGGAAGGTGCAGAGGCCTCGTGCAGGTCCAGGGAGGGCCCCACTCCCTGCTGGTGGATCCCTTTGCTCATTCAGGGAGGCAGGAAAACCCAGGGGTTGCCTGTGGGGCTTCTCCTTGCCTCAGGGGTCAGCTGCTCACCCCTTCTCTCTCCCTTCTCCAAGATTCCTTATCGGTTAAAGGAGATGGACAACGAGTTCGACACCTTCAGCCAAGTCCCCGAGTCCCCGATCGGGCGCGAGGAGGAGCCGCACCTCTACAGGGTGGCCAAGAAGTACAGGAAGGTGGTGGCCTTGGGGGGCACGGTGGGGAGCACCGAGGGTCCCACGGGGGGCGTGGGGAGGTGTTTGTTTCACCTCTCACCTCTCTGCTCAGGTCACCATCAAATACTCCAAGCTGGGGCTGGAGGATTTTGACTTCAAGCATTACAACAAGACGCTGTTTGCGGGGCTGGAGCCCCACATTCCCAACGCCTACTGCAACTGCATGATCCAGGTGGGAGCTGCTCCGGTCCCACCCTGACCCCCCCAGAACCCCCCTGACCCCCCCAGAACCCCCCCTGACTGCTGGGTCTCTGCCAGGTGCTGTATTTCCTGGAGCCAGTCCGCTGCCTGGTGCAGAACCACCTGTGCCAGAAGGAATTCTGCCTGGGCTGCGAGCTGGGTTTGCTCTTCCACATGCTGGACCTGTCCCGAGGAGACCCCTGCCAGGTCCGTGCTGCCCAGAGAGTCACGGCAGAGGAACGGGAGCGGTGCTGGTGATGGAAACTCCTGTCACTTGACCTCGGTGACACCTTGCTCTTGCCCCATGCCCAGGGGAGCAACTTTCTGCGGGCTTTCCGCACCATCCCGGAGGCGTCGGCGCTGGGCCTGATCCTGGCAGACTCGGACGAAGCCACGGGGAAGGTGAACCTGGGGCGGCTGATTCAGAGCTGGAACCGTTTCATCCTGACTCAGCTGCACCAGGAAACCCAGGAGCAGGAGGGACCCCAGGCCTACCGGGGGGCTGGCAGCAGGTGAGGCCCGGGAATGGCACCGGGAATGACCCAACCAAGGAGGGGGACAGGTCCCCAGAGACCCCCACCCATCCCTGGGGAAACTTTTGTGCCGCTCATGCCCCTGAGGGATCCATGATCCGTGGGAAGCCTCTGCCCCCCTAAAGGAGGTTTGGGGCTTTACAGAGGGCACCAGCTGAGCTTCCAGAGGGGCTCAGGGGGTCGGGATTGCTTGGATGGCTGATTCCCCAAAATCTGCTGGAATTTGGGAGCCTGAGCTGTGGGTCCCCAGCTTAGGGATCTCTGTTGATCCCAGTGCTGTTTTTCCAGCAGCTTTGGCTCCTCGGGGGACTCGGTCATCGGGCAGCTGTTCAGCTGTGAGATGGAGAACTGCAGCATGTGTCGCTGCGGGAAGGAGACCGTCCGTGTGTCCTCCACGCTGCTCTTCACCCTCTCCTACCCCGACAGCACTGGTAACAGCGGGGCCCAGCACCCCCAGCTGGGTGGGGTTGGTTATCCGTGATTTTTCCAGCTGGAACACACCCACAGCCAGGAGCTGCCTCAGCTCCAGGAATGGGTTTCCAACCAGCCCAGCTTTTGGCTTCAGAAGGACACATTTGGGGCTTGACCTTCTGGCTGGTGGTTGCGAGGAAAACCCCAGAGGTTTGGCTGAGCTCAGCTGGTCAAGGTTTGTGTGCTGGGGAGGTGACGTTATTCTCCTTTCTCCCTGCAGAAAAACCAGCCAAGGATTACGAATTCGCCCAAATTTTAAAACGCAGCATCTGCTTGGAGCAGAACACGCAAGCCTGGTGTGAGAACTGTGAGAAATACCAGCCCACGGTGAGCCTGGGAGCGGGGGACAGGCGTGAGGGGTGTGGGACACGGGCGTGAGGGGGGCAGTTTCTCCGTGAGTCACCAGGGAACCTCCTGAGCGGATGCCAGAGATTCGGTTCCTGGCCCGGCTGGCAGCCACGGGGTATTCCCTGGGCTCTGTGAATTCCTCTTGCAAGGGCAAGGATCCAGCAGGGAAAAACAACCCCCCAGGAGCTGCTGGAGCAGCCCTGTTGTCCTGGAAGTGCCCCCCCAAGGGATGCAGCCCGAGGTGTCCTCGGATGTCCCAAATCCTGCTCCGTTTCCATCTCCCCGCTCTCCCCGCAGGTGCAGACCCGGAACATCCGCTGCCTGCCGGACGTGCTGGTCATTAACTGCGAGGTGAACAGCTCCAAGGAGGCAGATTTCTGGAAGACACAGGCTGAGGTGGGGGAGACACTCGGGGGCCGGTTCTCCTGGCGCGCGGGGGTTGCGCTGCCCGGCCCCGCCGAGGTTTTGGCTCTGCTCTCGCTGTCTCTGGCCTCTCTCCCTCCACCTGAGCCGTGCTCACAGAGGACCCCGCTGCAATCAGGTCACGCCTGTGGCACGGTCTGCGCCTTTGCAGTTGGAAAAGACCGAGATCTCCTGGCGTGGCAGAGCTGAAGGGACTGCAGGAGTCACTTTGTCCTTCCCCCAGTCCCCCGGGAGCACCAAAAGCGGTGACCTTGGGACTTTGGGTTTCCCTTGCTTTTTTCCCCTATCACCAACTGTCACACCCTGTGTTTTCCCTGCTCCTGGCCTGGCTGTGTCACCCACGTGTCCCCAGGGCTGGCCTGTCACCGTGTGCTGATGCTTGCCTGTGTTTCGTTGCCAGTATTCCTTCCAGAAAGCCATGATGAAGAGAGGAGGCTTCGACATCACCAAGGGAAAGGAGATCACTCTCGGGGAGTGGTAGGTGGAAATTCAGGAGGAATTTCTTCATGGAAAGAGTTTGGTCCTGCCCAGGGAGGTGGTGGAGTCACCATCCCTGGAGGTGTCCAAGGAATGACAGGATGTGGCACTCTGGTCTGGGTGACAAGGTGGGGATTGGCCAGAGGTTGGACTTTTGATGGTCTTGGAAAGCTTTTCCAACCTCAAGGATGCTGGGATTCTGTTTCTGGGGTGGTGCCTCTGAGCAGTGACACCTCCTGGGTGATTCTCTGGGCTACTTCACATCTAAATTACGTTGATTTGACACCCTGCCTGTCTGAGGCTGCACCACATCCCCTTTGTCACCCACCTCTTTTTGAGCCCCCAACCTCGCGTCCCTTCTCTAACCGACAAAAGCCCCAAAACCACATGGGCTGAGCACCTCTCCCAGAGTCCTGCTCCAGGCAGCTCCAGCTTCCCACAGAAACTTCAGGAATCAGCTGGGTGGGAGTCCTGGCCCGGGTGACATCTCCCTCCAGCTCAGCTTTCCATCATTGTCTGTGCAGGAAGGATCTGGGGAACCCCGACACGGGGCATTCGTATGCTTCTGTGGAGGAACTGAAGAACATTTGGATCCCTCACGCCATCAAGATGAGGTTGACCAAGAGCAAAGAGCTCGACGTGAGCAACTGGAGCGAGAGCGATGAGGTAAAGCGACAGAATCGGCGTGGGTGAAGCGAGAGGGGCACGTGGGGCTGTGGGAACAGAGCTGCCTCAGAACCACTTTCTGCTGAGAGAGATGATGAGGAGTTAACTCAGGGGAGCGGGGAAACGTCCAGGTTTGGGGGCTCAGACGCTCGCGGTTCCTCCCACAGCTGAGCCCGATGGACGACCCCGAGTCCGTGTACATCTACGACCTGATGGCCACCGTGGTTCACATCCTGGATTCGCGCACCGGGGGCAGCCTGGTGGGGCACATCAAGGTGGGAGAGACCTACCACCAGCGGAAGGAGGTGAGAGCCTGCAGGAACCCCACGGGCTCCGGCTCCCCGAGGGGGATCCGTCATTCCCGGGTCTCTCGAGCCAAGCCTTGAGTGTTTGGCTGAAGGTGCCAAGAGCTGCTGGGGCCCCTCACGGAGAGGGAAGGGCTGGAGAAACCCTCTTCCCACACCCACTCAGGCTGGTTCCTCCTGGCCACGGGCACGGTGCCAGCTTGTCCTTGTACTTCCAGGTAAGGGCAAGGACGTCATCTCTCCTTTCCCGAGGAAAGGGCTGGTCTGGGCAGTCCTGGTTTCTGCTGGAGATGCCCAAGCCAGGAGTTCCCAGAGTGTGTCAAGGCTCCATCCCTGTCTCTTATCTCTTGCATCTCCCTGGAGTTTTGCTCGGGAGCCGGGCAGAGCCCGGAGCCCGTCCCCAGCCCAATCCTTTCGTGTCCTTTGTCACCACCCAGGGCAGCAGGGATTTCCCCACAGTGTCCCAGGAAGGGCGGGGGTTCCCACATGGCATCGTCACACCCTCCTTTCCCTGGTAACTGGGCAGAGGAGTCACTGCTCCGGCCCGGGGGGGCCCCTAAGGCTGTGCCTTTCCCCCCAGGGAGTCACACACCAGCAGTGGTACCTCTTCAACGACTTCCTCATCGAGCCCGTGGACAAGGTGAGCACCGAGGTGACACCGTGGCCACCCCGTGGAGCCACCCAGGCCACCCCTGACCGTCCCCCCCTCCCCTGCAGTGCGAGGCCGTGCAGTTTGACATGAGCTGGAAGGTTCCAGCCATCCTCTACTACGCCCGGAGGAACCTCAACGCCAAGTACAACCTCGTCAGTGAGTGCCCGGCGTGGAAGTGGCGGCGGGGCCGGCGCCGCCGCGGCTCCGCTCAGCTCCTTCCCCTTTCCCTGCACAGTCAAGAACCCCATCGAGGCCAGCGTGCTGCTGGCTGAAGCCTCGCTGGCCCGCAAGCAGCGCAAGTGCCACGCCACCTTCATCCCCCTCATGCTGAACGAGATGCCCCAGGCAGGAGACCTGGTGGGGCTGGACGCCGAGTTCGTCACGCTGAACGAGGTGGGGGGGCCCTGGGGTGGGG